GCCGGGCCAGGCCTGGAGCCGACACCACCGCCATCATGCCGGCCGTATCCAAGGGCGATGGGATGCGGGGGCTCGCGGTGTTCATCTCCGACATCCGGAACTGTGAGCGTGCGGCCGGGGGACCCTGGAGGCGGGGAGCGATGAATTGCGGGGTTGGGGGTTACCTTGCCAGAGGGGTAGAAAACCATGGGGGTCGTGGAGGGAGAGGGTAGATAGGGCCCCGGGGGAACTTCAAGGTGGGGGAGTGAAGGGGCTTAGGGTGCCTCTTGAGGTGACTACTCGGAGTGGTTAAGAGACGCCCGAGAGGGTCTTAAAGGTGAGGAGGTTAGTAAGGTTCCGAGGATGGGGGCATAGAGGTGTCCCCGGGAATGATGGGCTTGGGGGTCCTATTAGACTGGGATCCCTGATGCAGATAGAAAGGGAAGGCGGTGCATGGGTGTGTGTCGGGGGTACCCCGTGGAGCGATCGAGTGGGGGGGAGGGAGGCCAGAAGGGACTGGGAGGACGTAAAACCCTGGAAGCCCAATGGGGCCGTGCTCAAGGGCCTGGGTGAGAGGGTGTCATAGAGGGAAGGGGCTAGATAGGTCACCGAGGCTCTTGGCCAGGGCACAGAGAGCGCCCGGGAGGGACAGAGAGTCCTAGGGGCTTGGGGAGGAGAGATGGGAAGGGGGAGGACTGTAGCGGGACCCTGGGGCAGGGTCGAGGGGCTCCAGGATGGAGGCTTGCTCAGGAGGATGGAGGGCAGTGGAGAAGGGGCTTGGAGGGTTACTGAGGGGAAAGGAGCGACTCAGAGGGCACCCAGGGGAGACATTGCCCGTGGAGAGGCTTGGGAGGACCAGCGACAGGGAGCTGTGGGCCTGGGAAGGAGAGGACACTGTCAGGTGCGGGCCCAGGGGATGTTCCAGAAAGGGGAGAGGGCCAGGGGGCCTTAGGGATTTGTGGGGAAGAGGTCTGAAGAGCTGGGGGGGCGAGGGGCCTGGGCTCAGGGTTCAGGGAGGCGGACAGTCTGGAATCTGGAGCCTGACCACGGCAATATGGGGACAGCCGTCGCCAGCAGGAAGGACTGTCGCGGTGATGGGAGGCCTGGTGCCAGGTCAGCTCCCAACTCCTCGCAGCAGGTGTTGGTGCTTGGAGCTGTCATGAGCTTCCCGGACTCTATCCGCATGGCCTTGGGGCCGGCCAGACCTGGGTTCGAGGGCTGTCACCGCCCAGCCGGGTGACCTTGAATGAGGGACCTCACTTCTGTTTCCTTATCTGCCAGGAGGGATAAGGCTGTCCCCACTTTGCTGATGAGAGTGTTGTGATGATGTATGTAGACGGGGCCTTTCCCCGCATTCCAGGCACGAGGCAGGTCTTGGCTATTGTTCTTGTTTTGCTGGGTCTGGAGCAGTGGCCCCTGTTAGGTGCCCAGGGATTGGTTTAGGGTTTAGTAGGTATGGAAGGGTCTAGGATGCGTTAGATCTGGTGAAAAGGAGGGGTGGGAACTGTTGGCATCAGGTGGAGGAGAGATGTTGTGGTTGTTATGAAAAGGGGTGGAGCTATGAGGGGTTGGTGAACTCCGTCCGGGGCCAGCTGTTAGAAGCAGGTGTGCCTTGCCCTAGCCAGCTTGGCTCAGTGGATAGAGGTTGGGCCTGTGGACTGAAGGGCCCCAGGATCGATTCCGGCCAAGGGCACATGCCTGGGTTGCGGGCTTGATCCCCAGTAGGGGGTATGCAGGAGGCAGCCGATCAATGATTCTCATCATTGATGTTTCTATCTTTCTCTCCTTCTCCCTTCCTCTCTGAAATCAATAAAGAAATATATTTTTTTAAAAAAGAAGCAAGTGTGCCTGCAATGCCTCTGATACCTACTAGCCATGTGACCCTTGGCAAGTCACTTAACCTCTCCGATGTTCAGTTTTCTTGTCTGCAAACCCCAGGCATAACAGCATCTTACCTTTGAAGGTTCATTCATTCAATTGACAAGTACCTTTGATCACTAGTGTGCCAGACTGTTCCAGGGACTGGGACTACAGCATGAGCAAAAATCCCTGCCTTCGGGGGCACCATGGCAGGAGGGAGATAGAAAATAAACACAGATAACTGGCAATAAATGACACAATGTCACACTGTGAAGAAAAATAAGGAAGGGGGGACCAGGAGGAGAGGGAGCTGGGTGAAGGCCTCACGGAGATGGCTCCCTGAAGACATCTGAGTGGAGACTGAGTGAGGTGAGGGAGTGAGCTCTGTGGATTTTGGAGGAGAGAGGGGTCTAGGCAAGGGAAGCGTGCATTCAAAGGTCCTGAGGTTGCGCACGCTCAGTGTGTGTTCACTTCAGCGTGCGGGGGTCCGTGAGGCTGGAGCCGAGGGTGGGGGCTGAGGGCAGAGGGGACAGGAATGTGTAGGGCTTTGTGGGTCAACGAGCACTTTGGCCTTTCTCTGAGTGAAACGAGAGCGGCGGCAGGTTTTGAGCACAGGAGGGACATGAGCTGATGGATATTTTCTTTATAAGAATTCCTTTTAAAAATATATAGTTTTATTGATTTCAGAGAGGAAGGGAGAGATAGAAACATCAGTGATGAGTGAGAATCATTGATCAGCTGCCTCCTGCACGCCCCACACTGAGGATCGAGCCCACAACCCAGGCATGTGCCCAGACCAGGAATCAACCGTGACCTCCTGGGTCATAGGTCGACACTCAACCACTGAGCCACGTCGGCCGGGCCTATTGATGTTTTAAAGTCATTCCTGTGGCCTCCGTGAAGAGCACAGACTGGAGGAGGTGTGCGTGGAAGCAGGGAAATAATTAGGGGGCTGTTGCAGGCGTCCGGGTGCGAGATGGTGTTGGCTTGCCTGGGGTGAGAAGGAAATGCGGGGAAATAGTTAGTTCTGGGATCAATTGTGAAGGATTTGCAAAGGGATTGAATGAATCGTGATGGAGCAGGAAAGAAAAACCAGGCCAGTGTCACTGCAGGACCTGAGAGGGAAGCCAGAGGACAAAGGGAAGGTCCAACTTGGGGGCAGTGGAGATTTCACCAAATGCATTGGGGCTTCCTCTTGTCCTTCCTTTTCTCAAATATGTGTTGAGTGGCTGGTGTGTTTTAAGCCTTATCATGGGTGCTGGGGACATTGGTGAGTAGGACAGACTTGTCTGTGCCCCTGTTAAGGAGACAGGTACTGCCCCCAAAATGCAGCTGTTCTTGTCACACACACAAATAAGTTGTATACAGATGTTTATGGCAGATGTTTCCACAATTGCCAAAAAGTGGAAATAAGCAACCCAAATGTCCATGGACAGATGATAAACAAATGTTCCGCCCATGCAATGGAATATTATTTAGCCATTAAAAAGGTTGATGTACTGATAGATGCTACAACATGGGTGCACCTTCTAAGTGAAAGAAGCCATATACACAAAAGTGTGGGATCCCATGTATCTGAAATGTCCAGAACAGGCAAGTCCATAGAGACAGAAAGCAGATTAGTGGTTGCCTGGGGCTGAGGATCGTGGAATGTGGAGCGACTGCTAATGAGTACAGGATTTCCTTTTGGGGTGAGGAAAACGTTCTGGAATTAGATGGTGCTGATGGTTGCACAACATTGTGGATACGCGAAAGACCACTGAATTGCACACTTTAAAAGTGGTGAGCTTCCCTCGCCGGCTTGGTTCAGTGGCTAGAGCATCAGCCTGCGGACTGAGGGGCTCAGGGTTCAATTCCAGTCAAGGGCACATGCCCGGGTTGCAGGCTTGATCCCCAGTAGGGGGCAAGCAGGAGGCAGCCGATCAATGATTCTCTCTCTCCCTCTCCCTTCCTCTCTGAAATCAATAAAAATACATTAAAAAATAAAATAAAGCGGTGACCTTTAGGGTATGTGAATTATATCTTAATTTTTTCCCTTTTAATCCACAACCGAGGATACATGTTTCTTCTTTTAAAGTTGATTTTAGAGAGGGAAGAAGGGAGAGAGAGAGAGAAACATCAATCCATGCCTCTTGTATTCATCCTGACCACGGATTGAACCCTCAACCTTTTGGTGTCCAGAACAGTGCTCCAACTAACCGAGCCACCTGGCCAGGGCTATATCTTAATTTTTTAAGCGGAAAACTATTGTACCTGTCCTAGGTCCCGTGAGGGAGAGGGCCTCAAAGTTGAGGGAATGGGGGCTGATACCTTGCTCAGACTGTGCAGCAGTTAGGCAGGCCCAGGGAAGTGGAGAACTGGGAAGGCATAGGGCCAGCAAGTGCAAAGGTCCTGGGTCCCAGTCGAGACTCTGAGCTAAGCGTAGGATCTGGGGAGTGGGGCAGAGAGCTCGTCCTGAGAGCACTGGAGGGTTTCAAGCAGGAGGGAGGGAAGAGAAGGGATGAGGGAAGAAGTACTGTTCAGAAATGAGCAGGTGAGGAAGATCTGAAGAGCACAGTGGAGTTCAGAGAGGAGATCTAGAAGGAGATGAAGGGCAGGCTCAGCGGAGGGCCAGGAAGGGCAAATTCTGCAGATAAGAGAGGTTGAAGCTGGGTGCAGCCTGAGGGTGTGGTCCCGGCCTGACAGCGGGGAGGAGAGGGGGGACTTATCTGCCTGGAGCTCCCGAGGGCAGGGGCTGGGCTGCCACCTCTCCAGTCCCTCCAACCCTGAGGCGAGCTTTTGAGGGAGTGAATGGGGGAAGGGTGCTGAGCAACCCATTAGGGCGCATCCCACTCCACATTGTGGCCCATTCCGTCTGTGACATCTCCCCCAGGCCCTGAGCACAGGCCCTGGTCTGATCCTCCTCTGGATCCAGTCTGCCCACTGCAGGAGCTGGCCCACCGGAGTCCTCAGGAGATATTTGCCCATTGAATGAATGAATGAATGAATGAACGAATGAACTGACCTTTACTGAGCACTGATTGAGTGCCAGACACTGTTCTTGGTGATGGGACTACAGCAGGGAACTAAAGCCCCTCTCGGTGGGGTTCACATTCTAGGGGGCAGATGGACCAATACACAAGTAATTATATAGTATCCAGGTGTTCACACAGGTGGCGTGGGTGTTGGAGGGAAATGGAGCAGGGAAGGGGGGTGTGGGAACAAGCTTAGGGATGGTGCTTTTGTATAGTCTGGTCAGAGAGCCTCTTGCTGAAAAGGTGATG